TTTTATCAACAATCCAAACCCCTAATCATAAACCTCCCCTTAGATCTCCCTCCAATCTTTATCCAAACATTATAATATAAAAATCAACTTTTAACCCAGCAAATTCAAAATCAAATAGAACAGTGGCACAATTATTTCTTCTTCTCCCAAGTTTAGCAAGCTTCTATTATCAGTCTCACACGCAGTCTGGCAAACAAAACAACAAACACAGAGTCTCAGTAGTTGTCCTTGAAGCCCGTCTTATGATCTTTCCATTAGCCCCTTGATGCTCCTCAGTCCAGTCAACCATGTCAGCTCCTTCTTTCTTCTCCAGAAAACAACCAGATTCTGTTATTAACAGATCACGGAGTCCAGGAAAAGGCAAAGAGAAACATGCCCCAGCCAAGCTGCATTCACAAAACTCACGTCTCTTAAATCCTGTCCAGTGGTATTACCATCTGGGATTCTTTTCCAGAAACATAAGATTTATTTTTCCGTCTCACTCTCTCGGCTTTGAAACCAGCCTGCTGTATTAAGAGTTCACTTGGGGAGGAGAGTTAGTTTCGCTTTTGAAGCAGACTGATAAGATAGGTTCGCCGCTGCTTTTCTTCTTTCAGCCAAATATTTTCATTCTTATTTTCAGCTTAATGGGGCTGTTTCAAAAATCAAAGGCTTCAGCTTACTTAGTTGTTATATATTTTAAGCTTATATTGGTTGTTCTCCTCTCCCTCGATAAAGGGTTACTCACAGCTCCGTGCCAAATATGGCTCCTGCTCCGATCCGTGCTGGGTGATTTCTTCAGAGGGAAGAAGTCCGGGTTTGCCTCCCATTCTTATCCTTCTGCTGCTCACCATCTGCTTCAGAGAGACTTCTCCTAGACTCTCCTTCGATCCCCATTTCAAAAAGGGGATCCCAGACCGGACGGTTCCAGTTTTTCCAGAGAGAGCTCTTCTCTGGAGCTACTGGCAGCACCGCAACAAAACCCCACCTTCCCCTCCTCACCCCTTTGAGCACAGGATTAATAAATGGAAGGCCAGTTGCAAAATGAATATATTACTGTACTCAGTAACTGATCCTTGAATAGATAGCAATAATCTGTACAGCAGAAACCTTAAACTAGTGTCCTTTAGATGTTCTGGATTACAGTTCCCATAATCCTGCACCACTAATCATGCTGGCTGGGGGCAAATGCCTCAAAGTCCAAAACACTGGCTTCCAGATGGCTGCTGTAAGCCAAGAACATCACTATACTAGAAAGTCAAATGAATGAAGAATGTGGATCACTTACATTAGCAGAGGAGTTGCTGATCTCTACTTTGGACACAGCTGCCTGATACAAAGCCATCCTTTCCTTCAGAGAGATAACCTCCTGGAATTCCAGGGGCACCTTATCACTCTGGTCTGTCACTCCTGAAAGTCCAGTTGCAGATTTCTGATGACCAGCGGAAGCTAAAAACAAGAACAACAGTGTATATGATTATTTTGCCCGAAGTAAAGCAGTTCATCCTTTATACAGTACTACAGGCAGGCAAGATGGATTTTTCTAATTTTTCCCCACTAGTGAAGTTACAAATCATATTGTGTAAATGCAATATGTAGTACATATAAAATGATTCCTTCTTTCAAATTATTTACCTGCGATTACTTGTCTTTGGGTTTTGATTACTCTCTTCTCATTTTACTGTTAGTTTTTACACTATGTTTTCTGTGGTTATTTAATATACTATAAGCTGCTATAAGCATAATTTTTAAAAGGAATGGTAGGTACCACGTGGGTTTTTTTCAGTTCTTAACTCAAATCTAAGTACTTAAGTCAAGTCAATATTTTCCTATGAGAGCGGTTCTTAAGTCAAAATGTTCTTAACTCAAGCCGTTCTTAAGTCAAGACCCCACTGTATAAGCTGCTATAAGCATAATTTTTAAAAGGAATGGTAGGTAATAAATATGCTTTCCCCCTATGGAAACATGTTCTTTATGTATAGTCTCCAAATCCCGTGAGGTACTAGTTTCCCTCTATTTAAAACTGGTTAGGCCTCATCTTGAGTATTGTGTCCAGTAGTTTAAGAAGGATGCCAACAAACGGTAACAAGTTCAGAGGAAGGCAACAAGGACAATCTGAAAACTGGAAACCAAGCCCTAAGAGGAAAGACTGAAATAACTGGGCATGTTTAGTCTTGAGAAAAGAAGAACGAGGGGAGATGTGATAGTACTTTTCAAATGTACTTAAAAGCCTGCCATACAGAAGAGGGGCAGGATCTGTTCTTGATCATCCCAGAGTGCAGGACACATAATAATTGACTCAAGTTACAGGAAGCCAGATTTAGGCTAAATATTAAGAAAAACTTCTTAACTCTTAGAGCAGTACAACAATGGAACCAATTACTTCGGGAAGTGGGGAGTGCTCCAACACTGGAGGCATTCAAGAGAAAATTGGACATCCATCCATCAGGTCTACTTTGATTTGGATTTCTACATTGATCAGGAGGTTGGACTCGATGGCCTTGTAGGCCCCTTCCAATCCACTTATTCTATGATTCTATGAGTCTGTCTCAGGGAGGTTCACTACAAGAATTTCACAGCTCTTAGATGGATAAGGAAAAATAGAAAAGTAACAATAGAAATTTGTTCAGATCCTGTATTTTAGGGAGACCAAATCATGTTATAATGGGACAGGGACTATTCAAAGCCTTACAAATAACTAAATGTTTTCCGAAAGGTGACTAATTCTTAAAAGCAACACAAAAGAGCACAGTGAGTTGTTTGTGTACCAATACACACAAGAAGGATCGGCCTACTCTCCTTTTTAGAAGTTCAACAGGACCTTATTTCTCTTCCTCAATCTTCCCTTTCCTTTTTTTGAATAAATCCTCAACATTTTGTGGTTTCAGAGCATTGAAAATCCTCCTTTGACTGTAATTTAGAGAAAATATTTCCCCCTCTTTTAAAAAGGTATTTATTTTCCACATTATGTCCCCGTTCATGTCCTCTAGCCCTACTTGTCTCTCCCTTTCACCATCCATCTTCTTTCCTTGTGAGGGGTTAGTGGGTCACCCTTAAGAGTTTATTTCCTCACTTTCTCCATGTCCTCCATTCTCGCTCATCTCTCACCACCCCCCTTTCACTCTGTTTTCTTTCTTCAGGTGGCAGTTGGGTTACTCCTAAAAGTTTATTATCTCTATATACTTTTACCCTTCTAAAGATTTTAGGTCCTTCTCCCCCTGCCCCCCACCCCAAAATGCTTCATGACATGTTATACTTGTGTTTTGTCAAGTCAACTCTAACTTATGGTGACACTTTTCAGAGTATTCTAGGTACATAGAGCCTACTCAGAAGCGGTTTCCCAGTCCCTTCTTTTGAGACTCTGCAACTTGCACGAAGCCATGCAGCCTGGCTCTACTCATAGGAGGCAGCCAAATACATAAACCACTACAGCCAAATACCTAAACCATGTAGCTGTCCAGCCAGCATGCTTCACTTACAGGGAACCCCACATATTAGTAGTGCAGACAAGCAATATCTTTTCAAACTGAGTACTGTACAATAAATATAAATTATGAAGCAATGAAAGTTATTCTTTCATCTGTCCTTCCATCCATCCAGTTCAAGATGACTTGAAAAACATCTAATATGCTGTAATCTGTACTTCACTCATTTATACTATTATTTTGTCTGCACTACTGTGATAAAAGCTTCACAATAATTAATTATTTTGACTTCAGTTGACATATTGCCAAATGAGGTCCCTGTGCGGAAATGCAATACTATAAAGTCCCCAGGTTGTTATTTTAATTCTGTAAAATGGCTTGTAAAAATGCAAAATGTACATTATTTCCTCTATTAACCTTACAACCAGGTCAGCCATTTTCTTTGCAACCACCAATTAATACAATTATTCCTGTCTAATATGTTGGCTTTCTTGTCATAGTATACTTTCTGTTCGCTGCTTCATGAACCTTAAATGTTTTTATTAAGCTTTCAGCTGGACTATGAGATAACCTTGCTCCAGCAGAGCACAGGGAAGATCAGCACTGGTGCATTTGACAAAAATATATTCTTCAGTTATGCATGCTCAATAATGTGTTGTTCGCAATGTCCAAAAGCTGAACCTCTGAAACATGCAAGATTTAAGGGGGAAATAGAAGTAAACTCATCTATTTAGAATGCACCCTGCCTTTCCCCCCATGCAATTCCTAGTCATGTTTGAAGCTTGTTGATGAAAAGGGCATCATGATTTGTGCCCAATGTTAATTTCCTTTTAAGTCAGTGCATTTTGACTGTTTGTTATTTCTACTTTGATCACAGTAGGGAATGTGATGCTCAGAAATTGTCAGTTTCTCTCAATGCTGAAGACATTCATGAGTTTCCTAGGAGCCTTGCAGTAATTTTCAACCTCACTTAACCTTAACATTTTGGAGTCATAAACTGAAGGATTCATTTCTTAAAGTGTTATTTTTTAAAAAACCCTTGCATAGCTGGAGACGTTGTTCCAAGCAACATACTCACATACTCACCATTTTAAATAATCTCTCTTCTGAGTTTACAATTTTGAGCAACAGTTTCATAAAGCAAAGCAAAGCGTGCTGCTTATATACCGCCCCACAGCGCTTCAAGCACTCTCTGGGCGGTTTACAATTTAATTATGCAGGCGACACATTGCCCCTCCCCAGCGAGCTGGGTACAGTACTCATTTTACCGACCTTGGAAGGATAGAAGGCTGAGTCAACCTTGAGCCGGCTACCTGGGATTTGAACCCCAGGTCATGAGCACAGTTTTGCCTGCAGTACAGTGATGTAACCACTGCGTCACGAGGCACATGAACTGTACAACCCGAAACAAACCAGGGAGCAGTGAAAAGGAGGATATGGTTAACACTGTGCATATACTGGAAAGCCACACTGGTCTAAGAAGCCATCCAGATGTTGTACTCATCATTGTGAACCTTCCTCTAGCTAAAAATGCCTGCCATCTTGCCAACTGAGGTCTACAAACTGCAGTGGGCATTGGTGCACATGCAATTTCTTTGTACTCATCATTGTGAACCTTCCTCTAGCGAAAAATGCCTGCCTTCTTGCCAACTGAGGTCTGCAAACTGCAGTGGGCATTGGTGTACATGCAACTGGCTAGACTAAAAAGTGAAAGCAAAGTGTGCTGCTTACTTACTGCGGTTTACAATTTAATTATGCAGACTACACATTGCCCCCCAGCAAGCTGGGTACTCATTTTACGAACCTCAGAAGGATGGGAGGCTGAGTGAACCTCAAGCTGGCTACTTGGAATTGAACCCGGGTCATGAGCAGCAGGCTGAGTGAACCTCAAGCCGGCTACTTGGAATTGAACCTGGGTCATGAGCAGCGTTTTGGCTGCAATACTGCAGTTTAATGACTGTGCCATCAGCCTCTCTATACATACATTTCTTGTGAATCAGCAGTGAATGGATGTTTAATATTAATCCATAATATACGATTCTTTTGGGTGGATTTAAAAAAAAATCAGAATGGTTTCTATCGCAAGATATACTTGTCCTAGTCTCCATTTTCTCATCTTTATTAGGTAGAAGGCTTACAGGCCAGCATTAATAATAATGTTGAAATTAAGATACTGTATCTATTACAGAATCGTGGTTTGACACGAGTTCTTTGTGTAAGGCATCAGGGTGTGAGCAATCTTTTCAGCACCTAAGCTCACTGAAGTGCTAAAGATGGGAGGAGAGCAACGAAGCAATGTGAACAGTGGTTGCATTTGTCCCTAGATGATGTTCTTGGACTACAACTCTCAGAAATCGTTTACAGCCCAGCACATCTGGGGACCCATGCTTGGGAGCCACTGGTCTACAGCCTACTTCTTCAGAGGCATGGCACAGCCTCAGTAAACAGACTCAAATGTTTGCCTACCGAGGTAATACCTATGCATCTGCAAATGGACTTTGTGGTTTATAGTCCATGAAAGCTTACTCCAAGTAAAGCTTGCTACTCTTTATGCTGACACAAGACTCCTTTGTTGTTTTTCCTCCCACAGCCTAATACAGTTACCCTTATGGAAATTAATAAAGATGGAGGATGTCTGAAGCAACCTTTCCAGAATTTTATTGAACTTAATGCTCTCTAGCCAGGCCAGTCTACAATTCCCATTAGGTTCCATTGGGGTCCCTTGTGACACAAGAAGAATCCAAATAAATATACTGTAAAAGCAGGCACACAGTTTATTTCCTTCAAACTACTTCTAATATCTCCCATGAGAAATACGTTGGGCCTTCCAAATTTGCCTCAGCATTGCCCTTTAGCCAAAGGTTTGCAGAACTAGGTGACAGAAGTAAATCAAAATCATTCTGGGTAGTTAATGAAGTATCTGAAAATGGTTCTGTGCCTGGCGGTTAAATACACTCACTTCTGCATCTCAACAACAGTCACATGCAGCACAATTAATTCTTACAGCTTTTCTTTTACATTGCC